CCAAATTTGCGTTGTGACACCAAAATGAAATGCCAAGTTCATGACGCCCGTGGCTGGAAGGTTCTTTTTTGCAAAAATCGCTCAAGTGATCGTACGTGACTGTTTCTCGTTGAAAACGGAGATTTGTGGCCCAAGTCGCCATTTTAACGTTGTGAGTTTACAACCTAGGACTGATTTCGATGGCACATAAACATGTTCACATGGAGGATGCACTCCGCATGCGCGCGGTGTGCGTTTTTTGCCTGTGGAGGCCCTGAGACACAACGATACTGTAAAATGGGAAATGGCCAATGTCACGTCCTACATAAAGGTCGAACGACAACGGTACTTGGTCGGCGCCACCCTGAAACACGTTTCAAATTTCGACATTTCGAAATTGTTGGTATTTTCGTCGATGATTTTATAACCTTGACATTGTCCAAATAAGAAACCTATAAATGCACTTGTTATCCGGATATCCGCATACGTATATATTATGGGCACACCCTCGTGCTTCTTCCAGCCAATCGACGTTGCGTGGCAGACGTTGATGCTTCTGATTGGCTGCGATTTGTGATCCTCGCATCGGATTGGCTCCAAGATTGCAACTGCAACTGCCAACATTCTCAACAGCCCAGAAACGAGAATTCGGCTTTGGCGCAGACTCGAATTTCCCTCCGAACGACGACGCTTCAGACGACGATGCAACGCTCGCTGACCTCCGCCATGCGTGCGCGCCGCCTCGAGCCTTCGCGCAGATCATTCAGTGATTCGACTCGTCGGCGCCAAGACGTTTCTCGATTATGGACTGTCGGCTCCTTTCCTAAAAACGACGACGTAGCAGATAGCCCCAAGTCACCAATCTATGACACTTGGGGCATGTTGTCAAGCTTGCCGACGAACCAAGTGTACGGCTACACGTCAGCTCTGCATATCATTGGTACCCTGCCCAAGACGAATCCTCGACCTACCTCGACGGCGGCAACCTCTCCATCGACATTTTCAGAACAGAGAACGAAAAGCATTGTGATGCCGTAAGACCGACTGGTTGTTTATATATTGTCCGTCGTGAACTGAAGTGAGTTTTTTCGCAATGCACCTTTCGGTCCGCCTTGTTTCGTTTTGATGCCTTGATCGCACATGATGCCGAACAGCTGCACCAGTTAATCGTGAGGGTGGAAAATGGTGGATGGTGGCTTCAAGCCTCCATGACTCACCTCTTCTTCGTTCTTTGGGGATTTCACCAAAATGGGAACGGTGCGTACTGCTGTTAATGCCGCATTCTTGACGTACATGGCGTGGAGTACTTGACGCACCTGTCATTCAATCGATCGTGAAGTTCAAGACGTGGGATAGCACTAGTGTTCGAACCATGTCGAGCTCCGTGTACAAGATCGAGTGCCGTTCGGCCTCGTATTTAGCAAACACGCGATAGAGTTGCAACGAGCAATCGTCCATTGCCATTCTCGCCTCCATTGTCTTTGCTTCCAAGGCGCTCGTGTCACCCCGCTACACTTCGGTAAGTCGCACCATAGTCGATGGCGATGCCATCAACTTACACCTTTCCGTGCGTCCAGTCGTCTTTGAAAACTGTCCACGTCCAGCTTCAAGTTGGCGCGCCGAATGAATAAGGTCTGGCGTGTCAGGAAAATTCAGGGCATCGCATCTTCGTCACGTCGAACGCTTACCTGAATCGATTGCATGTGCAGAATCCTACTACCCAAGATGCGAAGCGCGCCTGTCAACATCGCGTCCTACGCCTCCGCGCGCATGAGGTGCCGACCAAGAACGACGGCGGTGTACGGCGTCGGTTAATTGGGTGTCCTGTTGCGCCGTAGTTGTCGCGAACGTGTCTTCGACATTGCTCCCTTGAACGACGCAACTATTGCGACCCATTCGTCAGATGCTCGTCATGGACACCATTGGAATACCCAACGTCCAGGCCAAGTTGGGATGCAGACGCGGCAAACTGACTCAACACCGTTCGATGGCGCTGAAGACTCGATTTTACTGCTTCCAAGTGATGGAGCAGACCAAGAAAGCGGTCTTTTTGCTGTACAAAGTAATCATCGGTGGACGGTGTTGCCTGTGTCAATGTTGAGAGAGAGAATGCTATACCGTTGTTTACCTGTCCAGTGCTGACGAGGGCGCGCTGAATCCAACGGCGCATTCGGTCGCGAAATGTGAGAGCGACCAGCGGAGCGGATGCTGTTGAGGGGGTCAGGTCGACGTTGTAGAATTTCCCAGAGTCGCCACGATTGGGGCTGTGGGTTGGTAATGCCTGTTGTGTTGGACGAGAAGACTCGATCGTTGTCGCGATTGCAGGCACGACTGAACTTGGTGGGGGTGACGGTAGAGCTGAAGCGTTCTCGACGGCTGTCGGTTGCGCAGTGAGGGGAACTGGAGAGTTGGCGACGTCTTTTGTCGGCAGGGATGCTGGGAAAGGCGTATACAGGTCCACAATAGGCAGGTCCACAATCTTCATGATACATGCATCATTGCATTGAACTTCATCCACAGTTGGTGCTTCCAACTCCGATTTGGGCTCTGCCATGCTGACTCGCTCAGGGTTTCGCCCTATTTCCATCACAGGTGATGGTGGTCGTGTCTGGACGACATCATGCGGAAGAGGGGATCCATCTTTAGCACGCTCTGCGCCAATATCCACGCCCTTCTCTTGCAGAACTCCATTGAGAGCTCTCACCGAAAAGTCGTCCTCCTTCATCATCATGTTGTGACTAGTGAATGTTTCAATGCGATCGAAAACTTAATCCCAAGTCGCGTTGGAGCCAAAAATAGATTTATCCGGATGTGATTAGATTTTTCTAATGTACTTACTTCGAAGTAATGACTGAAACACAGAGAGCCAATTAGAGTGCATCATACTAATTACCTACCACTTCGATCACATGAATAGTGTGACACTCTCGTCGGATTCAGTACAGGCTTCCAACAAAATAATTTATCGAGATAATAATTGCAATATCAAGATAAAAATTATCTATTTTGGGAAGCATCCGCAACCAATAATCTATTTTTGACCTTTCAAGATAAAAATAACCTATCTATTTTCATGAAATTATTGATTTCATTATCCATTCAGCGCGATGCAAATCAAAAGCAAGGACTTGGTCAACTTCTACTACACTCAAGTGGCGAAAAACAGCTACAAGTGCAAGGTGTGCGGCCTGGTTCGTAAGAAGGAGCCATGTGCGGGCTACACCAACTTGCTCAGTCACCTCGAAAGCAAGCACAAGGACTTCCGTACCGACTACGTCGATGACCAAAGTTCACAGCCTGGTACATTAGCTGGGTATGGGTTCATCGACGCCAAAACGAAGAATGTTTACGAGTGGGTCCGTTATGTTGTTGATGGCAATCATCCCTTCTCCACCGTCGAGGATCCTGTCACGAGGCGCATTACGTGCTTGAAACCCATTTGTACCAAGACATTGAAAACCAACATGGAGAGTTTGACAAAATCCGTCCAAGAAAAGATCGCACGTGAAATTCCCACTGTGTTTGGTATCTGCATGGATGGCTGGACCGACGGATCGAACCACTTCTGTGCCATCTTCGCTTGCTACTGCATTGGCAGTGAATGCTTCACCCCACTGCTCGCTATGTCGCCACTTCTTGAATTGGACCGACTTGATGCTGATGCTCACATCGACTTCATCGATTCGACTTTGGGCACCTACGGCAAACAAACGTCAGACATCGCATTTGTCACTGCAGACAACTGCGCCACGAACGCCTCCATTGCATCAAAGCTCGGTGTGCCGTTGGTTGGATGTTACTCCCACAAGTTCAACCTTGCAATGAAGGCGTACCTGGTCGACTACGAGAGTGAGCTCGCCGCAGTTCATGCCATCATGGGCCGTCTTGGGCGACTGAGAGCCGGTGGCGAACTCAAACGCTACACTGAACTGAAACCAGTGCCTCGCAATGTGACTCGATGGTCGTCAACCTACAAGATGGTCAAGCGATATATCGAGTTGTTGCCAACCTTGCCCAAGCTGCAGTCCATTCGGGACATTGCACTCAACCGCTGTGAGAACGACCGTCTGGTCCAGTTGGCTGCGACGTTGGAGCAATTCGAAACTGTCACGAAGATTCTGCAGTCCAAAAGTCTCGACTTGGCTGACGCAAGAACCATTTTTGATGGGTTGCATCGTCGGTTCCCATCGTTGCCTCATCTGGCATCTGATGCCGCGTTGACACGCTATCCTGCGTTCGATTCTGGCGTGGAAAAAGTGCTCTCTTTGAGAGAAGACGACTTGAGTCTGGATGAGTTGTCGGCTCTCCATCGTCTGCGAAAGGACACACAACAAGCACCTGTGACGACTGTGGAGCCTATGTCGTTGGCTGAAGAGTTGCTTGAGCCCAAACGGCGTCGGCTCGACATTGCTGAGAGCGCATATTGCTGCCTGAAGTGTGTGCTGCCAACCAGCAACATCGTAGAACGGTTGTTCAGTGCTGCGAAGTTCATTTTGAACGACTCAAGGAAGCACATGCACGTATCAAACTTTGAGATGATTGTGCTGCTTCATGCGAACAGTACCTACTGGGGTATAGACACTTTGGACCAAACTGCCAATACAAGTACTTAGATATTGATCACTTATGTATTTGGATAATAAAATTGATTGCATGTATTAACTCTACTTGAGTATGCGCGAACACTTCAAATAATACTTTGTATTAAACTTGCTTCGTAGTACCTAAACTGGATTTATCCAAATGCCAAAACATATTTCTTAAAGTCTAGTCTACCAAGGCAAAGGATAACCTTTGTACTCCATCAACAAGAACACCGTTAACCCATTGCCTCGGTCGATTCCCTGAATAGGACTTTGCCACAGTGGAACCGAGGTGTAGGATGGCGTAGTTGATGGCCTTGGCAGCCCCCCGCCCGAGAGCAGGTTTAAGACGAAGATGCTGTGTTGGTGGCAAATTGGAAAATGATGAAGGTTGTGCGAGCATCTCGGAGTGACTAGACATATAGAGATTAGGCATTTCTTGACAAGGCATAAAAAACAGAAAGCTTGGTCAACCGTCATAGACAGTTCGAATTGACAGTGCATGACTTTCACCGATATCGATTATTGCCTGTCAAAAACAATAATCTATTTTCTTGTTCTCCGATATTGAGATTTTTATTATTGCTTTCTGAATTTTCAAAGATTACAATATATCTA